ACGAGAACATCCATGAAAGCCGGTAGCATTCCCGAGTGCGACGCCGTGGAAGACGCGATACACTAGGCGGGGGCCAAGCAGCCGAGGGCCGATTGCCGCCTCACGCTCGATTGCTACTGAGGAGCGAAAAACGGCCCAAATCAGGGACAACGGTGGAGTTAGGTGAGGAAGAAGAAGGGGAAATTAGGTTTTTTATCATCATGCACAGAACTATATGTAGGAACTGGTGCCGCTGGAACTTAAATGGAAACCTAAGATCAAAATGATTTATTTACAGTATATGATAATTTAATTTATATTGTAGTTCGACAAATGCTAATTAGTTTATCTTGTAAATATAGACTATACTTGATTAGCTAAATATGTTTAGTAATATTAATTCGATCAGACCAATATCGAGAACCCATTTTTGAAAGGCGAGGATTCGGTTCACTTGTGGCAAGGGGATGAAGATCGTCTTGTCCCAATGGCCTTAGAACGTTACATTGCAAACAAGCTCCCTTGGACTCAATATCACGAGCTGAAGAGCTCGGGCCATATGTTTTTGTATGCTGACGGGAGAGCAAATTCGATTGTACAAACGCTTGTGGCTTGAAAACACGACATTTTTTTTTTGCTCGTTTAGTAATGTTCTTTTTCGGAAGCTTCGTGTTAACATGCATATTTTTGTACTGATCTGTGTAGATTTTTATTGTAATAAAGAACGTTAGCTAGTTCTACCAAACACTTTAGGAATCTTCATCCTCTCATGGGATCCTTACAAACAATTTAGAAGAGAGACATTTCATTTTGTGCCTCAAATGTTCAATGAGCTGAAAAGCTTCAGTGTTTTTTTTCTTTAAAAGCACACATGAATATTTGAAATTATTACCTAGTGTACAAGCCCTTCCTCCATGTTATCTTTTTATTTTACAAGATTATTTTTTATATATATAATTTATGATAGACAATGATTTTTTTTATTATTATTTTTATTTTTATTTTACAAGATGTTTTGTTATTTGTTATTTTTCTTTTGTCTTTATTTATTTATTTATTCATTTTAACAATGAAGATTGGAGGGAACAAATTAAATTTATCCCAAATCTATCAAATAAGTGAAGACATATATTTCATTTTAGATTAGAATTTAGATATATTATATTATCAATATCAAATTAAATTAAATGTAAAAATCAATGAAATAAATAGCTCGCTAAAGTTGCCGCTATATGAGAAATAACTTTTTTTGGCAGCGTGTCGTTATTTGTATTCATGTGCAATTTAACCGCTAAATCCCGCTAAATCTCCGCTATAGCTCTACTATAGCTACAGTGTCGTAAACGTTTTAGCCCGCTATTTAAAATCTTGATAAAAATACATTATACGACGTACAACGTTACCTCAACGGAAGGAACCTCAGACATAAGGAAACCTAATCAAGTCCCCCCAACACGGCCCAGCCCGGCCCAATCTCGCACTCGAGCATCTACAAACTAGGACACGTGTAAGCCATCGAGAATCCTGGCTCTGCTCCAAGAACTAAGCTGAGGACACCTGTCCTGCACGTGTCAAGCAGCCATGCAATGAAGAGATAATTACGAAAATCTCCCAGAACGGCATGGGCCGGAATTGACTTATTGGGCCGTTTTCGCAATATACACGCCACCGGGCCCACATTCTTCACCACCTTCAACCGCACTGTTGCTATATTTCCAACTTAAATCACTGCTTTGAACAACTGCCATGGACAATCACAAGCCTCTGTAATCCAGCAGAAATAAATATAGGTAAAACACATAATA